TACACCTGAGGTGTGCCGTATTTAATCTTGTTTGAGGAACGTTATTTTTGTTACACTATTTAAATTTTTTATTACAATATTACATTTAATTGGTGTTGACACAAGATGTTTTTTTATAATACTCTGGAGTGATAACTTTTTTTATGTTTTGTTTATTTTAAAACATCCAACATTTTGTAAGATCCACTGTTTAAGCACAAACTAACAAAACAAGCTTATATTAAATTCTGTTGAAACATTGTACCCAGAAAATATTTCAAAATAAAATGAGGTCACTAAAGGTGGTAAATTTAGGGGTAAAAGATCAGAAGGAATTGAGTGTTTTCCAGCAAAACATATTTTTCCTTGTTAAATCTGAAGTCCAAATCGATATTCCAAAGCTGATGCTTCTGGGGAAATAACTGCCATTATGATGGAAAATCTACTTCAAATAAAATGGTGTTGCCATTCCAACTGAGATTTCAAACATTAGCTCACTCATTAACTAACTAGCCATATTCACTAACTAACTGCAGCAACAGAGTTTTAATTCATTCAAAGTCCTGTGCTGTGTTTCTCTGAACAGATTCTCAGTGGACTGGCACCTCTGAAAACCTTGACATCAAAGATTAGAGCAGTGCTGAAAAATTAATTCCACCAGTCTTAATATTTAACAGAAGTCTTGGTGTTAGGAGTGCATCTTCTCCTCTTTTCCTACTCTAATTCTGATGGACATGAGTTTCTGTGAAACAGGAAGGGGCTACAAAAGCATGCAACCACTAAAAAACACTGGTTCTGTCTTATTGGCTCAAATCTTCATGTGTTTTCTGAATTTTCTTCCACACCTCAATTGATCTTATCTCTCTTTTTCCTGCCTTGAGCTTTGTTTGTTGCTGTTTTTGTGTGTTTTGATATGAATCCACGAATGCAGAAATCATTGTGGATCACTGAACCACAGCTTTTGTTTGTAAAAACAAAGCAACGGGCTACATCAGCATTTCCCAAGACAGAGCCAATTACCCTACCCCCAGCCACCAGCCCAGAGTCAGATTTACAGTGCTATTCTCATCCCTTTAGCTCTGTGGTTAAAAAAAAAAATGCTTATTTTATCTTATCCTTATCCCTGAAGGAAGTGCCAGTAGAGAAACTGGGACTTCTCTTTATGGTGAGATTTTGACCATTCTTTCTTCTATATTTAGCTTACTCAAACATTTTACTTGGTATTTCAGTATTTATCAATTTGCTGCTTTGTGCTTTGGAGCTAGATCATTTAGTTTGTTGATATGATCAGTTCCCTTGTTATTTAGACATTTTCCATTTTTTTTAAGTTCCAAATTAAACTCTAAAAAATACAAAAACAAATTCAACATGTGACAGTATAGAGTTTGGACTAAGTAACCAAGCACAAATCCATATCAGCTAAAAAATACAGGTGTGCATCCAAATAATAGTTTATCTCCAAGGTTTTTGGAAATAGTAGTGCTGGGTAAATTGTTTCTTTTTTGGTTCAACTCAGTAATTGTGATGGACTATAGTCAGCACTAAAACATGTGCATTTTACTGAAATTGCTCAGATAGCTGTAGATACTGAAGAATCAGTGGTCCCAGTTTTGTCAGATTTTAACTACAATTCATATGGACAACATCAGCACATTAATGATTAGGCTGCAAGATCTGGTGCTTCTTTAGAATGATTACATCTTATATTTTGTTTTCTATGTGGTGAGAAACAAGGATTTTTGCAACATTGTCAAAGACGAGATGGGAGGGAGATACAACCAAATGTTTAAAAGTTTCCAAGGGAACAAAAGGGCACATTACTGTCAAAGGCAAATATAAACTTAATTAAAAATGAGGATGCGGAGTCCTCATTTTTAATCCTCCTTCCCACTATCACTTTTTGTGCTTGACATCACAGGAGTCATAGAGCTATTTACTATAGATCTCCATTTGTCCTAATGTTGGTTCCATAAACTTCAAATGTGAGCTAAGGACTGTGTTTTTGACAAATTGCATTTAGCTGTTCTGCCTGGTCTCAAGTATTTAGGTACTGTGCTTGATTAATGTTTCTTCTGAGCTAAGAATTCTGACGTTAGAACAATAATTGGTAATCCTCATTCATGTTTTTATGTAATTTGACCGGAATGAACATTCTACCTGCTCTAAACAAAAAGGCTGTTCAAATTCTCCAGAAATAAACTCTGCATTGAGACTTAAAGACACAAATATAACTCCTTTATTAAGGTCTGTACACTTGTTCCCAATTAGATACAGAGTTCACTTTAAAATCATTACATGGACCTCTAGGAATTTGCATTATCAAGCTTATGATTAATTCGCTGACCTGTTAAAGCCTTACTCATCAACGAGAAACCTCAAGTCAGCCATTTAAACATGATTTACAAATCCTTAGCACTCTTGTCAAACCAGTGGTGATCACTCCATTCAAGCAGTCATGCACAACATCTGGTATACCCCTCCCTATTTTTTCACTGCTAAAGATTGTCATTCAGATAAGCTTTTAGTTTAGTTTATTTACCTCATGCAGTACTTTTATGCTCCATGTCCTTCTTAAATTTAATATTAGGTTTAATGTTGATATTTTAATGATAATTTCTGTTATTTTACTGCAATATTCACATCTTGTTGTAAAGCACTTTGTCAATGTATATAGGTGCTGTATAACCAAAGTTTTCTTACTTACTTACAATGGGGCCCTCTGGAATACGGATTTTATATAACCATAATTCCCTCTGTTTATATGTCTGATGTATGTAAATTTAATCTTCTACACCAGTAAACTGATTGTAGTTGTGAAAAAGCCACTACTTGCAGGCACTTAAAGGTGCTGGAAACTGTGCAGCCATAAAGCGTTCTTAAAGGAAGAAAATGGTATGGATAATAAACCGTGGAGTAACTTTAAAGTAAAGGTATAAAAAAAAAAACATAAAAAGGGTGTTGGCAGTGGGGAAAGGAGGGAGATACAACCAAATGTTTAAAAGTTTCCAAGCGAACAAAAAGGAATGTTACTGATTAGCTATGGAAAATAAAGAGAAGATAATGAGCTGGTAATTATTTTGAAAAATCTGATTGTCCATATGTTCACACACTTATCATCAAATAACTATTCAAACGGTTTTCTCCAAATGACATTTGAAAAAGCAGAACAAGAAAGGCCTTCAAAGACATTCAAAATGTTACGTTTGTTTTCGGTAAATTAATCCTTTTATTTAAGTTTTATGAATACTTCGAGAGAAGAGACTGTACAAATTACCATTACCAATTTCATTAAACCTTTGGTTAGGACCTTTGTTCTTTGCCCGGAAATAGAAGATGGGTAATGCATTAGTTTCCTGGCATAAAAAGGAAGAAAAACACATCAAATGTCTGTCTAAAGTAGAAGCACAACAACTCATGAAGTGGTCTCAAAATCTGAATCAGAAAATTTGTGGTAAAAGTTTTGATTTAGCAAGCAGCTGTGGCAAAGTATTAGAGCAATTGCAGGTCAAAGAAATAATGTGGCCACTGCGAGTAAATTTTTGCAAAAAACAATCTCTATATTGTCGAATTTCCAGAAAGGTGGACCATTTGCATTACAGAATATCAGTTCAGAAAAACAGATGTGGAAGGCAGTGAAATAGAGAGAAGCAGTAACATCTCCTCCATCCATCACTCTGGGCAATGTGAGATCTTTGGCAATTAAATTGGATGATCTTCAAGCACTAACAAGGACCCTGCCAGAGTATTGGGAATGCAATATTGTGTGTTTTGCTGAGACATGAAAGTAGGATCGTATCCCTATTTCTGTCAGGCTTTCTTACTGTGTGAGAAGATAGAGATTTATAGAACTGTGACACAATCAGAGGAGGTTAGCAGTGCTTTTCCACCACGAACCAAGACATGCTACCATGAAGTGCTTTCACTGCAGAGCTGATATACAATTTTTAGCAGTATGTTTTTGTCCATGTTATTTACCAAGAAATCTTATCAGGGTTTTTTGCCGATTATATACACTGCACGGCTCGCTGTACCCAACACCGCATGTGATGTCATCAACTCAGTTGTAGCCAAACTACACATCATCTAGCTACTGACATGAAGACACAGAGCAAACTGTGTTTCTTAAAAAAAAAACTTAAGTCCTTCAATGTATGTAGTAAGATGCAGCTTCTGTGGGGCAGAAGCATCAGCAGCAGTGACTTAAAAAGAGATAAACAGTCGGACACAAAAAGGCTTTTTGTGCTGTAGAGATTTTTCTGGACCCTCTGGAGATTATTTTGCAAAGAACAATTCTTCATAGAATGAATAACAACCATAAGCATCCTTTTCAAAACATACAACAGCCAAGTGTTTTCAGAATCTTTATTGGGTCAAATGTAGTTCTGACTGCAGCAGGAGATTCTTCTTGCCGACAGCCATCAATCACATCTACAACTACTCTTTCAGTAAATTTTATAGTATAAATGGCATTTAATTTCTCTTTAGGATTCATCTAATCTCTTAATCCCACATATTTTTATGTTTTTGCTTAACTAAAGATGCATTTTTAGTTGTACAAATATTTTAGTACTTTGTGTCTATAAGTTTTTTCATTATAAACAAAAAGAAAGATATTTAAAAAGACAATTTTTCTAGATTACAATAGAAACATTTTTCTTTGACATTACAAGGAAGAACTTTGTTTTGCTGAACAACACAAAGTTTACTGAGTCCTTGGGACAGCAAAATTACATTCTTATAATAGTCACATTTGCAGTTTTTTTATGTTTTTAAACACATAAATTCTTACCACATAAAAGTCTGATCATGAAATAAATTAACTCTACTGGGTACCAAGCTGTCAGACTAACCTATTTCTTTCTTATTTATTTTCTTGTTGTTTTGTGCTATTTTAAGGCATTTTGTTTTGCTTTATTTATGAATATTTATCTGCTTAACCAAACACCCAAATGCCTTTTTTTTCTCTTTTGTTACTAGATTTGCATTACCGTAATTCATAGCATTTCTCTTGTGTTTTACAGGCTCCCAGAGGTACGGATCTCAGACAATGGGCCTTATGAATGCCATGTGGGCATATATGACCGGGCAACAAGGGAGAAGGTTGTCCTGGCTTCAGGAAATGTTTTTCTTACAGTTATGTGTGAGTAACATTATTGCATTGAGTGCTATATTTTTCAGAAATGCTTCTTGCTTCAAGGAGAAATATATATTTCAAAACAGAATAGTTGGGTGGAACATTGAATTTATGTAGAGGGACATTTCAAAGCCAGCAGGTCAAACAGTACGACAAAGATGGAAGTGAGAGCCCAAAGGCAGAAAGAAAAAAAAAACTTTTTTCACTCATGTGACATTTTAAATTTTTACGTGAGGTTCTTGGAGGGTAAAAAACTGTTTGGTACGAAGGTCCACCAAGAGTATGAATTTTGATTTAAAAACAAAATTTCTAAATGTTTGCTAACCCAGTTTACAAGAATGGTTAGCTTAAACATGTCTATTTTAGTGCCTTAGAAAAACAGTAGCTTGCCATCATCAACGTGTATGAAAATTACTGATTTAATATAAAACATCTTCGAGTGTGTCTGATGTCATTTCGTTTCAAAAGGCATTCCAAATAAACTTTTCTTTTTTTTTCAGAAAGGAATTAATGCTACTCCAGTGAACTAAATAAATCACTTTGGCCAAATATGTTTTATCCAGAGGTAATTTTGAGAATGATGTTTTATTATTCCTTCTATATGGCTTCTGTTTGTTTTGCCAATATTTCCTTCATAACATCAAAAATATGACGTTATTTTGTTGATAATTTTGTATTTGTAAATTAAAACTAAAACTGCTTATGTTGACTGCGATTTTAATATCAAGTTTCAGACAAATCATTGATTTTTCTTTTTAAATCAGCTCTAAAGTAAATAAATAGAAAAAAAAAAGCTGGAGCAAAGAAATCAATCCCACCTGGACATTATTTAGCCACTGCTTTTTTTTTCAATTTCTGTTCATAATCTCTTGATCTGCATTGTCAGACACTTTGTTGCTCTGCGTTTTACTATTGCCTAAACCTCACACACTTTTTCCATATCTCTACCATTTTGCTGTAGACATAATTAATGATAATTTTACAATTAACTACAATCAAGAGAGGATGTTTTTGCCTGTTGCTCAGTCTTGAACGTAATTATTGTATTTTAGTCTCCCCAGTGACAGCTTTTTGGTTGATGTATCAATTCCAGTTACAAAAAAATGGCTAATCTCCATGTGGTCTTTTGTCTAATTAGCATTTTTTGAGCTGGAACACAGGAGAGAAACAGCATGTCATAATATCACCTCATTATCACATTTTGTGACCCTGAAAACTGGCTAATATTTCATGATCTGTTAAATTATGCATCAATTTTCCTTTAAACAACTCTTTGCCTTTATACTTGTACTTTTTATTACCATTCAAGAGTCTTTGTTTTACATTCCCCTATTATCAATGAAAGGAGATTTACTCAGTTGTTACTTGTTTCAGTTCTGGGTAAGTGGAAGTGAATGATGTGGTCCTGGGATAGCTGTAGCGCCCTATCTCAGCTGGGTCCTAAATCACCACAGAGAGAAAGAAGAATGGCTTCTGGCATTGTGGCTAATTGCAGTCTAAACTGAAACAGAATTATTCATAACCTATTAGTGTGTCAAGTTCAGTGGGATGTAAAGAGAAAAGTTGAGCAGTGAAAAAGAGTATTAAAGGAACAAAGTTAATTAATAGGAAACAGTACACAGAGAGTATTTTAATTTTTAAAGGGTTTCACAAATAAAAATTATCATTTTAATTAATCTCCTGCCAAGACATCCGAACAGCCAACATTAAAACATAAAAACATGAACTTTGGTACCTCAGCTGGTGTCCTTGAAAAGTTTTAAAAGTCATCTATTTTATTTGACTTCCTATTTTTTTTCCCCTTAAACTATATTGGCAAATGCCATTAGGCCTTATGGTACAAATATACTAGAACTATCTTTAGTAATACCAGAGTTGTATTAGAGAAAATACTGATTCACTGTGATGGAGAGAATCATTGTTAAATTATTTAATTTAGTGTCGAATCAGAATCAGTCTCAGTCTGCTGGACAGGATGAATGGAGTAGAGACATGTCACAATGTGGTTTGACCATTTGACCATCTTCCTATTTGCAGTTGTAAGAAAATGAATATTTATGTATTGCAGAAAACGGACTTTCTAGATGTCATCTATAAATATTTGTTGTGTGTTGGCGTGCATGTTCATGTGTCTTGGTTATCTTAACCCTCTCAGGCTCAAATTACTTGCAAAGACTGGCTAAGTTGTTGCAAATCTTCAACACCTGCCTGGAGAGGGTTAACTTATTTCCATTTGTTTTGACCTTTTCACCTGGTATTTCCAAGACACATGCTCATAATTTTAAATGTAAACGCCTTTCTTCAGCAAGAAAAGAAGCTGCAAGAATAAATGTTTCATAGTCGTTTTTTAATCATTTTACTAAAAAGGTTAGAATGCCAAAAATTAAAGTTAATAATTAACATTGTAGTAACTCAGACTTTGCCTACAGTTATAATAGAAAAGTCATTTTCAATCCCTATGAAGCCAGGACCATAATTTTAGCCTCTAGCAGCAGGGGAAAAAAAAGAAAAAAATCTATTCCCATTTTGAGTGGTAAAGATCCAGTCATTATTTGTCATTACTTGATGTGATTCCTTTATGATGCTACAAAGATTAAGATGAAAGGTTATTTATCCCCCCAGAAGTGGCAGTGACCTTGGGAAGGCAGTACCCGCTTGAATTGTGTTCTGTCTGAGGCACCTTAGCCTGTTATTGTCTGTATTAAATGGCTGTTTGCCTGTGACTTGTCAGCTTGATAAAGAAGATCTTAATAGCCATGTTTTTAACCATCTTGTCACGTAAGTGTAGAAATTCTTTCATCTAACCTTTTGTGAAGCGTGAGGAGTTAATTTAAAGGATGCCCTTCAGTAGGTGGCAGGGTTGTTACTTACATCCTCCAGATACAGAGATGAGCACTAAGGTGTAGACAGACTTAATTGCCTTCTTGTCCTGTGTAGCTCAGATTTTCTAACATAATGGATGTACATCTTTAATTAAACACTATGTACATTTAGTTTGATTGTTTAGAAAATGATGGGAATGGTGACAAATGGCTGAAACCCTTAGATAATAGTAGCTGAAAACAGTTTTTTGTTCACAAAAAGAAAGAATTTATGGAGTGGTAATGATGAACTTGTGTCATTTGTGTACAGAGTTGTTTAAATTTAATTTTAGCTGTCTTGCTTTTTGCTTTTGACTCTTTTTGAAGAACCGTTATTATCCCACACAACAAAAGTGTCTTCCTCAGTGTGATTGGTGTCTGTATTTTATCCTAGTTAAATGTCCTTTTTTGACTTACTATTTAATGTCTAAAAACAGCTGTGCACATAATTACTTTACTTGCTCCTTAAGTGTGTAATAAAGCCTGTTGTTCTTTTAACAGTGTTGTTAAGCCGTTTCAGAAGTTATTTTAAATTATCTTCAGCTGCACCATATGTGGGTTAAGAATTTTACTTTGTAGGCTTTTACTTGACAAGTGACAGAAAAAAAACTTGCAAGGTTTTCCATGGTCACTTAAGCTTTCCATTCTTCAGCCATGTTTGTCTTGGTTCCTAATATGTTCGACACACTTTTCTTGTTCCAGATACATTTAATCTGATTATAAGTCCATTTGGGAATAGTGTAACAAGCTTTGGAGCTTTTCAGAGATGTGTAGAAGTATGGGATAATAGAAAAAGTCAAAAACATCAAGTTTACATAAAATGAAAAGCATTTACTTATAGGATGTACTGCCCTACATTAGATTAACTACTAAAATTAAGCAGTTTGCATCAAGTGTAACACCACTTCCAGATATGAGGTGAACAGAGCATTATGCAATGGTTTGTTTCTTGCCTTCACCAGTGTTAGGCATTGCTAATTGAGAGCAATTCAGAATTCACCAAAATTATCTTGTCTCTTGGTCCACTGAGAGAAAAAAAGAATGGAATTAATTCACAGAACAGATGAATTATTAAAGGTCTGTCTTGAGCTAAACTCTGGGGTAATAACTGAAACAAAAACAAATAACCCATGGGTTTCCTCAAGGATACCCAACATTGACCTGTTAGGAAGTGAATCTCTTATTTTCTGTAAAAGATTTTTTTAACCAGTATGTCATGCAGTTATCATTTTGCCTGCGAATTTCTGTTTCCCCTTTAGTTGATGTTACTTTTTCTCAAAACCCACTGAAGCACAAGATCTTCTATTAATGTAGCAGCTACATTTTAAACCTTCATCTGTCAAACTGTGAAATCTGTTGGTGCTATCTTACTTCTAATTAGCTTCAACTGGGTTGTGGCATAAACTCGAAAATCGTATTTGGAGTCATACTGTATCTCATTTGAGGCCGCATTAATGACAAGCCATTTTTACCCTGTAGCTCATTCAGTGCCTCATTCAGTTGACATTCACCAGGCGCTTATCAGCAGGGTAGCCAGTGCATGCCAAGGCTGTAGCCTCATGAGTAAGCCTGTTTTCATACCCGGAGATTTAACATTGCAAACAAAAACACATGCATCAGATGGCTGCTGCTCAGATTCTGGCTCCTGAAAAACCTCGAAGGAAAGAAATTGGCCTGATACAGTTTTCATCAGCTGAGATTATTTTACTTGAATTCAAATGTGAAAAAAAAAAAAAAAAAAAAAGCAATGTTGGCTAATGCGTAACATTAATTCTGAAAACTGATTATTTTCATCTTCAAGGTACGTTCAAGAGACATAATTTCAGTAACGGCAGAACATAATGACATAACAACATAATGACACATAAAGACAGAATTATTATCAAACAGTGGTCAAGTTAATGTTGATGTTGCCAAATAGTCAGCTAAAATTTGAATAGTGTTTTGACTGAAAATTCAAAGAAATGTAGCACGCATCAAAATGTTGCCCAAAAGACAGACGGTTACGTCTTCAAATGATTCCAAAAGTCTTTATTCCATCGCTTGGGAATCACCGTGATTCTGCTCTTCTTGCTTTTTTCAGTTTTGTTCCTACACTAACATATATATTTCATATTTCGCATTTCATGCTGAACATGTTGCCCC